TCACAAAAGGATCTATCACCTTTCTTGTAGATCGGCATGATCACCGACTCTTACCATTCAGCTAGACCCTACTCTCTTTCCCATATTGAGCCCAGGAGTTTCGTCAACTCCAAGACTAACGCTGAGCCTCCATCCTTAAATGCTGATGGGAACAGCCCATCTGGGCCAGAGGCCTTATGCCTTTTGAGATAACTTATTTCCCGAGAAACCTCCATTTTAGATGGAGGACTAGCATCAACTGGGAGTATTTGTCCAGTCCAGGCGGAGAGTGAGAGATAAGGTGTCGATGGGGGTCAGTTGAACTGAGCCTTGAAATGTTCAGCCCAACGGTCAAGACGGCGTTGCTGACCGTGAATCAGTGTGACATCGGATTCTTTAATTACCTCACTTACGCCTATTTTCCTAGGACCCGTATTCCTAATTATATGGAAAAGGTTGCAACTATTACCAATAGCCGCAGCTTTCTACATCTCGCTACACTTTCCTATCCACCACTTCTCGCGGTCATTCCTCAGACTCCTGATGAGCTGGCGTTTAAGGGATTTGCTCGCTTTCGTATGTGGTATCCGGATGAAGGGTTTTGCGGGCGTCCAGAAGGGCAACCGAGGTCGACGGTCTCCATCGTTTTTGTTTTGAGCTTGCGGCAGGGTCCAAGGATCCCACTTGAGCATTGAAGTCCCCGGCGACTGCTGCGATGTCCGTTGATTGAGCACTTTGGAGTAGTTGAGAGAGATTCTGGTGGAATTTATCCTTGATTTCCGGTATACTGCAATCGGTCGGTGCGTACGCCGATAATATATAAATATAAACCTTAAAACGGCTGCGAATGAGACTTGCACGAAAACCAGTAGAAAATAACTGAAAGTATACTGGATCGTTCAGTCCATGGTTTTCATCCATCCAGGTAAGCAATCTCTTCGAATTTCCAACGAACGGGTGATCTTCAATAAGGTGACCTAACACCAACCCATAGGCTGGTCAACGGCCAGGGGAGTTGTACGCTACAGGAGGCCTCTCCATATCACGGATTGGAGAACGGACATGTAGGTGATTGTGTGAATAGTTTCTCATTCACAATGCTCGAGAACCGGACGGCTTTAGGATTAGCAACCTGCCTGTTTGCAAAATGCCACGACATCGTGTTGAGCGTACTTTTACATTTCTTTACTCTTAAGGCCCGCTGACAACTGGCAGGGGATAAGCTGGCTTCAAGGAGATCTCGAATTGCAGCTGATTACACTTGGTGGCAAATCTGCGTAGGTTATGATCCATTGACGATTGCCGTAGGCGGTGCAGAGATCCAGATTTTCTGCATTATGGCGTACCGTGTCCAGTCAGGTTTTCAGCTGTCCACCGCTTTGGGCAGGGAAACGGTTCCAAGATAGCTTTAGTCAGGTCTTTGTCAGATTTATGAAGTTGTCGCCACTGTATAATCGTCCATAGCCGTTCATAAATTTCATTATGAAAACAGCCCTGTCCTCGTGCGAGAATAGTGGCGTCGATTTACTCCCAAGTAGCAGACTATCGGATCTAGAGT